CTCCACTAAGGCAGAGGGGTGCACCGGGGGCCTCACAGACTCCACTAAGGCAGAGGGGTGCACTGGGGGCCTCACAGACTCCACTTGCAGCTGTTCAGTTTCTCTCAGCTTCCCAGAGCCCTGAATCCTGAGCGACTCCAGGCAGGCATGCAGCTCTGGGGCCGAACTTTCAAGGGAAAAACACACTTGCACTGTTCTAACTGGGACCAGGCCCCTGCTTCAAGCCCAAGCATCTGCAGAAATGAGCAGAAATGGCAGCCAGTGCCAGTGTGACAATGTCCAACCCAGGCTGAGCCCCAGCTTGGTTATGTCTGAACTGGGCATTCCCGGTTCCTTTGATGCTGCCTCATTGTCCTGTACCAGTCAGTGACTCAGACCAACAGTTCTCCCAGGGCAGAGCTGTCTGTGGAGAGCTTAGATGGGGCCAACTTCTCATAGTTTAGGGATGAAGCCAGTTCTCACATGTGAGACCCAACTGGACCCGAGGAGTGGCTGGCTCCCCAGTTTGAGTCTAAAGTGTCCATCTCCTCTCTCCAAGGTCCTGGGAACGCTGTTCTCTGTACTGATACAGTGGAGGCTGGTAGCTAAAAAAAATTACATTGCACATGTTTTGATGGGAGAGATGACTTGGGTCACTCATCTCAGCACTGTGGAGCTCAGTTTTCTGTAAATTAGAACTGTTGGGTCAGTTGCTCTCCACGCCCGTTTGAGTCCACCAGTCTGGACACCAGGGCCCCCAGGCTGGGGTGCTCTGACACTGTAATGGGAGAGAACTTGGGGAATCTGACAAAAGGCCCCCCATGGCAGGCACATTGGACCCTGTGTCCTTTCTGCCAGGACCATCATGTGGAGTCTCAGCATACAGTGTACCACGGTGAACAGCCTGCAGGCTTTGTGGGGTACAGAGGGGTCAGTGAAGGCAGGGGAATGCATTTGTGTAGAGTACGGACCAATTCCCACAAACCTGTGGAGCTGTTATTTGAAAGGCAGGTGCTCAAGCCGGCTTTTCTGGCCCAGCATGAAGCTAATCATAGTTTAAGGTGCCAGGGTGAGCTAGCTGGAGCACAGTGAAGGTGATACTTTCTGGAGAAGCATGCCAGACCAAGAAAGATCTGGAAAACCAGGAAGATGTGAACATTCGACCATGAAACCATGCTTTATAGCTCAGACAGTTAATTCTGCAAAACGTCAGTCCATTTTCTAAGTTTCCACTGCGCAGCCCAGATGCCTCGGACTGACTGTTAGTGTCAGTCGGCAGTACAGAGCTCTGTCTGTGACAAAGAACACCTAGGCCTAATAATCCATAAGGAGTTCCTTTCCCGCTGGGTGTGTAGCTCTCTTGTAGAGTGCCTGGTTAGTGCACGATGCCCTGGGCTCAGTCCTCAGCGGGCATAATCCAGGTGTGGTGACGTAATGGGGAGGTGGAGGCATGACCTTTAGAATTCAAGGTCATCCTTGGGTCCCAGTAAGTTCAAGGCCAGTGTGGACTACATGAGACGCTCTCAAGAGAAAAATCCCTTCTTCCTGTCCTGGAAGCTGAAAGGCCGAGGCTCACACCTGGCTAGAGCCTTCTGTTTGTGCCGTCCCACGGTGGAAGGGGGAGGACGGAGTGGGATCAACAGCCCCACACTCATTCTAACCACAGTAAAGGCCCCGTTTCTTGGCACTGTTTCGTTGAGAATTCCTTCCAGCACCTGACTGGGGGACACAGTCAAACCATAGCGGGAAGCTTTTTAAAAGTCCGTGTCAGGAACCCAGAGTGACATCATTAAAATGCCGAGGTGGGATCCAGGTGTCATTTTCTGAGCTCTCCACAGAGCTTCTCAAAGCTAGTCAGCCTGGTGCCCAGAGCAGCAGCTTGAGCCCCCAGAACTCAGAAGGCAATGCGCATGCAAATCCCCAATCTACACCTCAGTCCTGAGAAACCCTGGAGGGGGAGCCCAGCAATCTGCAGTTCACAGGTGCGTCTCAGGCGTGCTAAACCAGGACCTTAGCAGGAGAGGAAGGGTCGGGTGGGCCGGGGGTGGGGGGGGGGGGGGGGGGGGGGGGGGGGGGGGGGAGGGGGGGGGGGGGGGGGGGGGGGGGCGTTGAAACAGACGTTCGGGGCTGTTTCTTCCGGCCACAGTAATTTCCATCTGGTTTGAAGAAACAGGTCTTTTCAGCAAACCCACAAGAATAAATTAAATACAGAAGTGACTCTGAAATTAGTTTCCTGTGTAGAGGTGGTGATTCTACACCAGTCAACATTTGGGTCCCCCAGTGTTGCCTGCCACATAGACACTGGTCCGTAAGAGCTCCCTGGTAGTAACTGGTAGCAGGATTGTGTGCCAGCGCAGTCACTCTGGGATTTTGGAAATAAAATCATACCATCAGCTCAATGCCTGCTCTTCCCTGGGGGAGGGGCCTGAGACTCCCTAACCGGTTTCAACTCCTTTAGGAAGAAATCATTGAGCTTTGACCTTTGATCTGTTTCTGGATGACTCCCGCCTGTTCCCGTAGTTGCCAGAATGGGGCTCGATTTTTCCTTGGTTGAGGAATCGGTAGTGTGTTGTCCTGTCAACCTTCCCCGCCCCAACAGGCCTCTGCACATGCTCAAACGGCTAGCAATCAGAAAGATGAGCTTCATTTCTCGTTTACGACAGCTCTCTCCAGAAAGTGTGGGAGAGAGCCACAGTGGTCAACCATGGTAAAAATGAAACTTAAAACCTAAAGCCACAAATTCTTAGAGTGCAACTTCTAAGCGAGGCAGAAAACCCCATGGCCTCATGTGTCATCCGTTTCCTGTGACTGTGACCAACACTAAGACAGCAGTCTGGAAGGGCTTGCTTTGCCTCACACCCTCAGGGCTTCCATCCGTGGTCGCTTAGCTCCACGGGTTCTGGGCTGAGGCGAGGCAGAGCAGCACACAGTAAAACAGATCTACTCACCTTTCTGCAGCCAGGAAGCAGCGAGCGGTGTCGGGAAAGGGCCAAGGGGAATGCTGCCTTCAAAGGCAACAACAACCCACGTTCTTCAGCTCAGCCTCAGCTCTACAGGTCTACCACCTTCTGCCAGTCTATTCAAATTCTGAATCCATTTATGGATTTACCCATCCATTAAGCCAAAGCCTGCATGATCTATTCATCTCTGGAAAGGTTCTCACACCCAGAAGTGTGCTCTACCGATACCCTAGGTGTCTCCCAATCTTGTCAAGTCGAGCTCTTGGTGAGCTCTTGTGCTGAGAGAGAAGATCTGGGGTCACAGTCATGTGTATGATTCTGAAGGAGCAGATGTGATCTCACCAGGGTGAGTGGCATGAGGAGAGGCAGAGGGAGAGTCACTAACATGTCGATGGTGGGAGAGCAAGGAAGGTTCAGAAGGTGCAAACATCTTCACCCGAGGAATGATGTTGGTCAATGTCACAGTCCCATTCTCCCTGGGAAAGGCTGAGCTGCCATGGTGTATGATTGTCTTTTTTCTTGGTGATTCTGGCCAGAAACTGTGTCCCAAACATACCTTTGCCTCTAGTTACAATTATCACTAAGGGTACCTCATGGGCATATTCTACTAAAAACTGCCTTGAGTCTCCTAGGAGATGAGGTTGGGCCACCTCAAGCCAGGTAAACTCCTACTGGCCATTTTTGAGTTGAACTGAGAGCATGAATGACTTCAACATCTCTAGGTTTCTGTTTCCAAACAGAAGAGATGGGTAGAAGGTGGTATTTACATCCACAACCACAGCTACACCCACCCCAAAAGAATAGAAATAGTTTTAGCTTATCAGTGATTTGATGGTCACCTAGACAGGGTTCTTAGAACACACAAAATACCACCCGACAGAATTCTACAGTTACTGGGGACACCTCTCGCAATGACCAAGCCTGGGTGTTCAGATGAGACACTAAAGAGACAGAAGAAGCGACGTATTCCCCATGGCCCTGCTAGTCATTCACAGGAGGCAGGTGATCGGAGAAGGAAGGTGAGCACACTGGAACCCACGTCCTCAGACTAGAGTGCTGGTGAACTCGGCACTCAGTCCACGGGCCGCCATGATATAGGGTAGGGCTTCCACTCAGCGAACACAGCCGCCCCTAGAGAGACATCCATGGTGGAACAGACCCTCCTAGTCCATTCTCTCGATAGATCTGAGCATTGTGCCTGGGTAGTTTATAAAGAATAATGCCTTGTTTGGGTCATGGTTCTGAAGATGTCCAACAGTGTGGTGTAGTCACGTGTTTGGTATCTAGCAAGCACCTTGTACTACATCATGCCACGGCAGAGGGCACCACATAGGTAGACACAGCAAGTTCACCACGGATAACCCATTATATCCATAGAGAAATTCAAGGGTAGTAAAGCCCCTCCCTCAAGAACACATTCATCTATAAACGGATTCATGCATTTTCGAGGGCAGCATCCTTATGATACAGTTCCTTTCCAGTGGTCTTATTGCTCAACACTGTTACCCTGAGAACCAAGTTTCCAACCTGCGGCCTTTGGGGGGACGCATTCACCCTACAGCAACCACCCATTACACATTCCTTCCCAAGGTGACTGCGGGTGCCTCAGTCCGAGGAGTCACATGAACCTCTGAAGTCACCTTTCTGTTGCTGTGATAAACGCCATGACCAAAAATGACTTATGGAGGAGTTTCTGCTGACTTGCAGTTGCAGAGGGAGAGTCCACAGTGGTGGGGGAGGCATGGCAGCAGACAGCCGAAACAGGAAGCTGAGAGGTCACATCTTCATCTGCACACAGGAAGCAGAGAGAGAGAACTGGAAGTGGGCGGGACTATAAGCCCTCAACCCCTCCCCAAGGGCTGTTTTTCCTCCACGGTGCCTTCACCTCCTAAAAGTTCTACAGCTTCCCACAAGGGCACTGCAAGCCCAGGACCAAGCACTCAAGTACATCTCCTGTGGGGGAGATCCCCACTCATCACCACAGCCACCGAGAACTATTGTAGGGATGTATAATTCCTTTCCAGGCCCACAGAACCAGCACGAGGCTGATTAGCTCTCTTTTGTTTATTATTTATTTATCATTTTTGAGACAGACTCTCACTAGCCCTGGCTGGCCTGGAACTCATTCTGTAGACCCAAACTCATAGGGATCCTCCTGCCTCTGCTTACCAGGTACATTTTTATTTTTTAAAGTTTTTTTTAAGCACACTTTTTATTTATTTGTTTGTTTGTTTGTTTGTTTGTTTTGTGTTTGTGTGTATGCCTGTGTATGTTGGGAAGGGACACATACACGTGGAGGTCAGAGGACAGTTTTCAGGAGTCAGTTCTCTCCCCCTACCACGTGGGTCCCAGGGATGGAACTCAGGTCTTCAGGCCTGGCTTTAGTCAGTGCCTTCACCCAGTGAGCTGATTTGCCAGGGCCATCTGCTTTATTCATGGAGTGGCCACCATAGTGTCCACTCTGGGGGGAGTGGGCAGAGAGAGGAATGAGTGTTTCGACATGGACATGGGTTGAATGTAAGGAAATGCACACGCGCACAGCCTATGGATGGGCCATAAAGACAGTAATAAGGGAAAAAGGAATGAGACCCAATGAGGTACATGACCCCATATTATTTATGACACACACATACGTGTATGCAGTAACATACATTGATGAAGCTCATCCCAATGACTGCCCCAGAGAGTTGAGGGGATGATGGGTAGAACTGAAGTGAGTCAAGTTATCAGCTGATTGACCAAGAGAGGCCGATGAGACTCCCGATGTATAGACCACAGAAAGATGTTTGTCCACTCCCTCTGTCACCCGAGACTCTGAAGAGTTGTGAGCATGGCGTGGGAGGTGGCCCGTTCACACTGGTTGATTTCAAGTTGCATTTTCCTTTCAGGAATTTCGCTCTACACCAGGGGAAACCGTGAAGCCCAGGATGATCCTGTCTAATTCCACGGCTGCGCTGTCCTTTCTGACCACGCTGTGGCAGGAGACAGCCGAGCAGGACGGCGACGCGTCAAGCCTGGCTCGCAGGTCTCAGCTCCGCGATGACAGCAAGCTGGAAGCGCTCTACATCCTCATGGTGCTGGGCTTCTTCGGCTTCTTCACCCTGGGCATCATGCTGAGCTACATCCGATCCAAGAAGCTGGAGCACTCACACGACCCATTCAACGTGTACATCGAGTCAGATGCCTGGCAGGAGAAAGACAAGGCGTTCTTCCAGGCCCGCGTTCTGGAGAGCTGCAGAGCATGCTACGTCATTGAAAACCAGGCGGCTGTGGAGCAGCCTGCCTCACACCTTCCCGAACCCCACAGCTAGTGAGGAGTAGACAAGCCCCACATGGGACAGCCTTTCTAGTCACACGCATGTCATAGCCTTTACTGTAGGGATGCCATTGGAGTCTTTGCTAGTGAACAATTGAGGGATGAATTAATAACACACGTTTTCTAAAATCACATTCCTTCTATAATAGATGATCAATTTATTCTACAGCACCTACCCTTGTTTGTTTGTTTTTAATCTAGCAGAGTCCCCAACAATGGGGCCTCTGAGAATGCAAGCCAAGTTTCCCCAAATCTCTCGACGTTAGCAGGGTCACACGACAAAGTTCTGATCAGAAGATACGGACATGGTGAGTCCAGTTCGTAAGTAGCCTTTGAAGAGGGAAGGGTGTGCCCTTCATCTTCCTTGTCCCCCTTAAGGACATTGGTACACTCAAGCAGCTCTGACAGGAACAGCAATCCCTCGGGTGATGCAGATGGAGCAGGACCGCTCCCCTCCCTGCACTGCCTGCCTGTCAGGGTCTTAGAAAGAGCTTTACCCCACAGCCCCTGCAGCCACTGCTTATCTCGGTCTCCGCTAAAGTCACGGAATCAGTATCCAAACCCAGTGGCCCCTCTGTCCTCGTCCCTCTGTTCACAACTGTGGCTCTATCCTCCTGCCCTCCTGTCTCCCAACTCCTCCCTTATAATATTCCTTACACACACACACACACACACACACACACACACACACACACACACCCCTCACAGTTCAACCTGGATGGAAATTGCTTCTTATATATAGGGCTGGAACACAGTAGAAAAAGACAGACACCATGGACAAGGTGCACAGTTATCACTGGAGGGAAAGTGGCCACCCACCATCCCAAAGGGCCAGGGGAAGGTGTATACATGGGCGTTGGCAGCACACGGGACTGATGTGGCAGGGTCCTTGAGGTGTGACAGGTTTGACTTGGATGAATTATGTTCCTAAAAGACATATTGAGGTTCGACACAAGGAGAATGCTATGAGATGCCAGAGGCAGAGGTCGGAGGACGAAGACAAAAGCCAAAGCGCTAAAGATGGATGGCCACTGGACTCGGGACAGAAACGAGGAGCAATTCTCCTTGCGCGTTTTCAAGGACATGAGGCCCTCCCAAGCCTTCGTCCCAGACTCCGGCCTTGAGGACACAGGACAAGGCCCGTCTGTTGTTTAGGGAGACTTTGATAAGACAGTCTAGCCAGCTAGGGCAGTATCAGCTGCACCTCCCCCTCGGACAGACGGAACTGTGGGAGTGGGGTGGAGAGTGGTGGCCCCAGAGCCGCTGTTCACAGCAGACAGACACAGACATCTCAGCCCCCGGCATGGGGAAGCAGCGCCCTGAGTGCCAGCCTTCTCCAGCTACCACCTGCGATACGAGGACCTTTAGTACCATGGCACCTTGAAAGCTCACCGGCTGGCACTCCTGGAGAGTGTGAAACACTTCGGGGAGACACAAGTTCTGGAAAACTGAACGCCGGGCCGGCAAGACGGCTTGGTATAGAGGCGACCTGGGTCTGTTCCCTAGAACCCATGGTGGAAGGAAAGGACAGACCGCAGAAAGTCGTCCTCTGACCTCCACGTGATGCACAGTGCATGCACACAGACACAGACAGACACACACATGCACACACACACAACCATACACATATAAAACAACAATAAATAAAGATTTAATCCACAATCTAATGAAAAGCACCTCCCGCACGGCACTGACTGTGCTCCAGTAGACACATTTAGCTCTGTCTGATTGGATGATTATAGCCCTCATTTCCCAATAAGCAGTGATTCCCGTGTGTGCGTGGGAGGAGGGCGCATCTCCACATCAGAACCCTGATGTGGGTTAGCCTCTGAATTGCCACTGTCTTTGAATAATTATTTGGGTCCCAGGATCCTTTGAATTCCAATGAATGCTCAACTCCTTCCCACCCCAAGACGCTCAGGGACGCTCTCCCTCCTGTCCTGAGGGTTCAGAGCCCCTGGAATCCAGCTGTGGCTGCTGCATCCATGGTCCCTGTGTGAACCAAACTCTGCTCCAAACAGATTCCTGTTGCCCAGGCTGGAGGGAAGGTTTGGAGAGCGACCCAGAGACCTTGTGACTTGTGACACAGTGACATTGATATTCCTGGCATACAGACCTGTCACCAGCTCCTTTCTCCACAGGAATTCCTGTGCCTTTTAAGGCAGGGAAATCCCCAGGCCTTGGTGTTATCTGCCCTTGGATGACTGGGCCTCACACGCACTGCCCAACTGCAGACTCCTTATCTCTTCTGGCCCCTTTATTTAAAAGGCAGAAGGGAAGAGGCAAGAAATGACCTGAACCTCCAAATGTCACCTGCCTGTGTGGCTGTAACCTCCAACTGCACACATATATAGAGAGAGGGTCAGTGTTGTGCCAGGAACCATTCTCAGCTCTTTGTAGATTCTCAGTCCATATTCTGCACATGCTATTTTTGTTAGGGCGGTGCCTTTTGCTGTATTAACATTTTTTAATTAAAGCTTTTTAAACATGATCTTGTGTTGTCTTTTTTGAAAAATAAGGTTTATTGTCTCTGGTTTTATGTGTATGACTGTTAGTCTGCATATACGTAAGTGTCCTTGGTGCCTGGTGCCTGTGGCGGTCAGGAGAGGGTGTCGGATCCCCTGGGGTTACAGTGGCTCTAAACTGCCATGTGGGTGCTGGGAACTGAGCCCAGGTACCCTGCTGAGGAGTCCATGCTCTTGACAGTTAAGCCCCCTCGTCGCGTCCCAGGGCTGTTGTATTCCCATCACTGTGATCCATTTGGAAGAGGAACAGAGGTTTGAGGGGCTTCACAGGCAGCGCCAGCGGCTGTGGAAAGAGGAGTATGGGACCGCCATGAATGCACAGTGCGTCAAGGTGGAGAATCATGGACCCCTCTGACCAAGAGTGAGGAGGGGACATTGGTCACCAGGGAGCACCCTTCTCACCCATGCTGGCTGGGTGTTTTGACAAGCTAGGGAAGAGGATCTTCAGTTGAGAAAATGCCCCCACCGCAATGGTCTTTGGGCAAGCTGCAGGGCATTTTCGTGATTAATGACTAATGGGGGAGGGCCCAGCCCACTGTGGGCGGAGCCACCACCGGGGACGGGCGGTCCAATGGTGTGTTCCTCCATGGCTTCTGCTTCAGTTCCTGCCTCCAGGTTCCTGCTCCTCTTGAGTTCCTGCCTTGAATTCCCTCGGTGATGAACTGTAATTGGGATGTATAAGATACATAAACCCTTTTCTCTCCAAGCCTTTTGGTTTGGGCCTTTATCACAGCAATAGAAAGCACACTAAGACGTGTCATGATTTTCACATGTCAGCACTAATTTAACCATCAAGTACTATTACTATTACTTTATTTTATTGGTGTGTGTGTGTTGGTGTGCATGTGTGTGTTAGTGTGTGCATGTGTGCGTGTGTTGGTGTGTATATGTGTGTGTGTTGGTGTGTGTGTGTTGGTGTGTGTATGTGTGTGTGTTGGTGTGTATGTGTGTGTGTTGGTGTGTATGTGTGTGTGTGTTGGTGTGTGTATGTGTGTG